CGAATCATTCATACTCAAACTCTCACACAAGCAGTCCTCACTAAAAGAATTAAAACACAAATACAGCTAAATAAAATAAAAGTGAGATCATTCATACAACCAGACAATCCCATGCACTCAACATACCAGTTAAAATTAGAAAGTAATAGGGTTGCGCAGGTCCAAGATAGTATTAAGTTCGTAATAGTCCAACGTAATAATCCACCCTCTCCTGAGGGGGGGGGTCACACCCTAATGGGGGGCTCCACTCTTCTCCTTCTGCTATGCCCCAAATATAGACTCTGCAAGTTTGTTTCAAGTTTATAAATATTGACAATTATCAAATGACAGAAAACTTGGTGATGAATTTCTTATCCTATAAATTTGTGCAATATCTAACTATAGAATGCACAAATATATATTTGCAGATGATTTATTTTCTTTTTTATTATTTATTTTAGAAGTGCAGTCAGAAAAAAAATAAGGGAAGAAGAAAAAGAAGAAAAGATAAAAAGAAAAACTTAATAGAAAGGGAATTTACAGGCTTTATAACACCAGCTGTAACATTTCAAAATTACATGATATACATCTTCCTTCTTCAGATCAATATAAAATACTTAGTATTTTAGGTCAGTCTTAAAATTAGTCAATATTATACTTTGGTCAGTATATAATAATTGGTAACCATATCCAGTGTCTATGGAAATTCTAAGTCATCCAGGTCATGGTTATCCCAAAGGGGCCCCACCATCCAATCAAAAGCTTCTTGGATGAAAAGCAAACGTCTTCAAAGAAAAACCAGAAAATCCAGCTGCCTCTTGAAAAAACACCTTTGGGACAACCATATCCAGTATGAGTCAAATTATAAAGCACGACTAAGATTTTAAAAATTGAAATTTCTGACTAATCCAGAAAATGGGCATATCCAGTATATCATAGAAACATTTATTATAATCTTATGTTAGGAAAAACACAAGCCAGTTACTTTCTAAGGGAAAGACATGCTTTTTTTCCCTTCCAGCAAACATACTTGTTGCTACATATACCTTGATTGTTACTTTCTCTGTCTTAGCATTTATTTTTTATATTTATTTATTTATTGATTTTATTTTGTCAAGTATGAATTAGATAACAGATATAAGTATAAACATGATTATGAATACATGAAATGAATACGAATACAAGGGAATATTAGGACAGGGACATTAGGCATGCTGGTGTGCTTATGCACGCCCCTTAAAGACCTCTTAGGAATGGAGTGAAATTGATAGTAGACAGTCTAAGGTGAAAGTTTTGGGGGTTTGGGCAAGAAACCACAGTGTCAGGTACTGGGTCATGTGTATGTACTCTTCTGTGACAGCTTTCTCTGCTATGTAGGTTACTTGCAGGGCTCCCTCCATATGCCCCTGTGTTTTCTTCTTGGATTCATTGTTGGAGACATCTTAGTTCTCAGGTGAGTATCATTCTTTCTCTGAAATGGATACTGGCCCATGTAAATAATCCCATCTGTTTTTTTTCTTTTTTACTATTTCTTATACCTTATTCTGAATTACAAGCACATAAAATCAAGCAGCAGATAAAATGGCCCTCTTGCTGACTATGAAAAAGATTGCCTTCCCTCACCTTTTATCTTTACATTTTCTTCCTTTAGTCTTTGAAAGCTCCTTCAGTCTTTTCCCATTGAAGGGAATTTGCAATACATGGGTTCTTTATATGTCTTATATTAAGTAGAGAGTTCCTAGACATGTATTACTAAAAGACACAACTAGAAATCTGGCAAGGAATGGTAGGGATTCAGTTTTAAATTTTGCTTTGTATCTTATTAAAAACACAATTTTTAATGAAAATTAAGACACTTTTTTTAAATTTAACTGTGCATCAAAATATTTTTATAACTTTTTATATAATAATTAATATAAAATTCCTATTTTATTTCTCTCATTATATTTTTAACACTTGACATTGCTAGTTACATTTTTCTAATTGTATATATCTCTTGCTTTATTTTAATCCAAATCATGACATCATTATTTGTCTTTATATCCATATGTTTTGTTTTCTATAATGTTAGTATTGTCTGTTCAGTGTGTTTTTCAGGTTATATTGAGATGTGCAAACAGGAACATTCTATGCCTTTTTAAACTTCTTTTTTAAAAAAATAGAATTACAACATCATCAGAACATATTATCAGATGACAACTTGATTCTTGCAGGCTTTGGATTCTTCTAATTCTCCCCTCTCCCAATCATTTGCTTACACATACCCTAATTATATATTGTGTCTAAATAGGGGCGTCAGTCTATTATTTTTCTATGTGTTGTGACCGTGTTCTCCATGCAATAACATCTCATTCTTCTTTCCTTTCAAAAGTTTATAAAAACTTCATTTGTAGAGGGTGAAAAAAATAAAAATTTTAAGAATTAGGGTTGTTCATTGGAAGGAAGAGTGTTTCATTTTCATGTCTAGTAATCTTGGATAGATTTTTGCAAGTGAAAACAGATTTTGTGTTGCCTACGATAGTTGCATAATAAAACCTATAGAACTATATCACATTATTGCTTAGTTTGTAACTAAGTTAATCATATCCATTTGTAACCATTTATTGATATGGTACATTTTTTCAAAAAACAAAAAAATGACACTTTTAAAATAAACTTTAACAATGTATCTCAATCAGTGTCCAAGGTTTTCTATTCATCAGACATAGCAAGAACTTGAAACTGATTTTACATTCAATATAAATCAAACCCACACACACACCACACACACACACACACACACACACACACACACAAACACAAAAAGTACTGTGGTTCATTTGAGAAGTCTCATTCTTGTAGCTCTCTGGCTCTCATAACAAAGAACCTGTATATTTTGGGGGGGTTGAGTTTCTGTAAAACCTTTTAAATTCCATTGTTCAGAACCAAAGAGTTTTTGATTTCTTGTCACTGAACCTTGTTCGCTTAATGTCTTTCTGTCATGCTGCCTAAAAGGAAAATAAAAAAGTGTCTTAAAAGCTTCTAAATAGCTATTGTGGAGAATTATTTTGCTCTCATGAAGGCTTTGGGAAGCTTTCATTTGAAATCCTACTCAGAATAGAGAAGAAACAGATCAGACACTAAAATGGGGGTGGGGGGTGGGACCAGTGGTTGCCAAAGGGGTGAAATCAACTTATCTTTGCTAGCAATGTGAACGTGCATATGCCACTTCCATGTATGTGCAGGACCTTCCACTCATGCGCAGAGCATCAAAAACAGGCAGGTGGGTGGAGCCTGCTAAGGGGGCACCTGCAAAGGTAAGGGAACAGTGGGGGAAATCCGCTGTGCCACGTAATTTAGATTAGCTAGAAAGCAGGAAATCCTGTTTTCTAGCTAATATAAATTGTGCATCACAGCTGATCATGAGAAATACCGATTCAGGCTAACCAGTCTGACCAATAGCATTTCGCCCCTGGGTTGCCACTGAAAATAAATTTGTGTTCCATGTGAATTGAGTCTCTAGTCATTTTCTTTTCTCTGGCTGACATCAGCCTGTAATAGCATTATATTTGCTTTTTTTCCATCAATATTCAAAAAGTAACCATTGTTGTCCAGCCCTCCACATTCTTTTTACACATATATATTCCCATGCTCGCTAAACCTGAAGTTTCACTGCCAGGTATGGTCCCTGTGATTATTGCAGTTCATGGTTGATCGGCAAGAAGTTGCGACAGATCTTAATAAACCATTTTCTATAACATGTTCTTATCTTTCTCCAGGGGCAGCTCTTCAGAGGTTCCAGCCTACTTTTTCGTAGAGCATCCATACCAACACCTTTTTCCATTGACTAATTTCATTTGGGAGACAGAAGCAAACTTAGATTCTTGTAGAAGAGACTCTAAAACAGCTTGTTTTTACCATTCTTTTTCATTTGTAAAATGAAAGGCTTTCAGCAGTAAGAACAGCTCATTTCAGTAAGTTTGACAACCATAAGGTCAGCTATTTCTGGCCAAATGTTGCTTGCCAGACAGTGCTGGTCAGGACTTGGATCAAAAGGGCAGCCTGAATAATAACTTTTCAGCTTTTCAGGCATAGTCATGGCTTTGTAGGATATAAGAAGCTGATTTACATTTTTCTCTAAATAAGATGTAAGATGGAATGCAGATTTCCCCCCTTTTGTACCATTAGAGAAAACAGCTTAACCTTTATCTCTTTATCAATTTTGGTTTTTGCCATGTTATTAGTCTACATATTAAATCCAACTGATGTTGGAATACCTTTCATTCCTAACATTTAGCAAAACCACAAAAAATTTTAATACTGATTTTTTTAAAATCATGACATGTATAAACCTGATGGTTTAGCTTTTATAATATCTCTAGGCATCTTATTTTGCATCAGCTATTTTTTAAGTTAAATATTTGACAAAGTGGGACCTTAAACCCTAAGATAGAATGGATTATTTACATGGATCTAGACAGAATTTTTTTTAATTTAGTATTGATTACAAATTTAAGCTTGATACAGGTAGTTATTGACTTATGACCACAATTGAGACCAGAATTTCCATCGCTAAGGAAGGAAGTTATTAATTGAGTCGTGGTCATGATCTTTCTGCCATGGTTGTTAAGTGAATCAATGCAATTATTAAGTGAATCATGTAGTTGTTAAATAAATCCAGCTTTCCCCATTGACTTTTCTTGTTGGAAGCCAGCTGGGATGGTTGCACACAGCAATCATATGACACCAAAACTGGTTGCCAAGTCTCTGAATTTTGATCACCTGACCACGGGATGGTGTGACAGTTATAAATGTGAGGACCAGTCATAACTCACCTTTTTCAGTGCTGTTGTAACTTTGAACAGTCACTAAACGAATGTTTGTAAATCAAGGAATACTGTATGTTGTGATTTAGGAAGAAATTCTGTGATAATGAAAACTGAACTACAGAGCCCTTAGTACAGTGGTTCTCAACTTTCTCAATGCCGCGACCCTTTAATACAGTTCCTCATGTTGTGGTGACCCCCAATCATAAAATTGGTGTGTCGGTTCCTAAGACCATCGAAAATATGTGTTTTCCGATGGTCTTAGGCGACTCCTTTGAAAGGTCATTCGACCCACAAAGGGATCCCGACCCACAGGTTGAGAACCACTGCCTTAGTACAAGAAAATGTGTATGTATGATAGTTGAGTTGTGGTAGTTCTCATGTCATACAGAAACATTCCAAATGTCAGACAGGATTTTTTGATATTAAGATTCAATACAGATGCAAAGATAATACATGTAACAATAACAATTATGATACCTAAAAGTCAGGATTTGGGGGTGATTTCTGACCAAAGTAAAGTAGTAAGAGCCAAGAAAAGGACTTTGCTGAATACCATGAGCAGTATTTCTCCTGGTCAGTAATGTTATATAAATATGAAATAATGTTGCACTACATTACTGATTTTATTTTTTATAAAAGCTTGGCTGGGTAGGGATGTCTACTGCAGGTCACTTATTCCAGCTAAGCAACATTTATAATGTGAACACTTAACTCGTTAGCTCATAGTTAGCTTTTCTAGTATTTACTTCAGACTGTACTGTAAGTGTACTGATTCAAAATTCACTAAATTCAGTTGGAATGGCTTTTGGACAAACCGCTACAGGATTGCACTGTTAAGCTTTTCCTAACATTTAAACATTTAAATGTTTAACATTTAAACAACTTGGCCTTACTTAAAATTCCTACAATCAAATTACTCATTGTATTACTTTTCGCTACAAGCAGATCTGTCAATTAATGTGAGTCCCACTTTTAGCAGCTTTGCAAATAGCATAGTGAATTTATATTTCTGGTGAAGGAGTATCTTTTTTTAACCAATTAAATATTCTTGCCTGCTGACAAATTGTCATGTTCAAATTACTTACTCATGTGAATAGTCTAAAATAGAGCCAAAGGAAGACTGAGTACTATAAATGAAAGTGAGACTTCGTGTGGCTTCAGTTCTAAATTTTATACAGTTAAATCATGCATATCACAAAGGTAAAAAAAAGCTATTTTCAAATTGCAATCATGCAGAAGATACCACAAAGGGAATATGGGAAATATGCTGCTTTGTCTTTTTGGTGCTACTATTAAAAACCTGAATTGATGTTGATCATCGGGAAGCTTGACTAAAGAATGAAAATGTAACATTGGGATTCTGAAGTACACTAATTCATTGTGCAATATTAATACTAAAAATGTTGCTTATCAAGCTGTGTTCACACAGAAGAAAGTCTTGTTTCTATCTAGTGTTGCTGTAAATAGAGCCAGTGATTCCATCCCACTTAACTTTGGTGATAGGTTTTATGTTTTTTCTGCATGTGTGTATGTATTACTCAGTAATTCCCAAATGGCTCTGAGCTGGCTTCAGGAAAAATGCTTTCTGGGTCAGGAGCCAAGTGCATTAATTTTGTAGCTTTCATACAGTGAAGTATGATATGTCCATTTTGTCATTGTTTTTCTTGGTATTTTCTTTTAACCCAGAAAGAAAAATGTTCACAATCTCTCTCTTCAGAAAACTCGTAGGAATTCCTTAAAGGGATGAAATTTGTCTTCTAAATGCAGTAGCCCAGAAATTTAATTTTATCATCATGGTGTTTTGAACCGATATATTTGTCCTGATGATTTGGCGATTACATCTGAAAAACATATTGTCTAAGCATTCAGCACAATTTATTGGGGAATGGTTTGTATGGAATCTAGAAACGCAGGTGCTTCCATAGCTTCAGATCTTTGCCAAAATTTTAAAGTTGTTTATGTCAAAATAAATGTACAGTTACAGCAAGTTAATTCAAAGCTTACTTGACATGTTTGAAAATAAAATATGAAAATGACCTCAACTGTGTTAATATTGCTTATTAATATAAATAAGTAAATTAATTCAAACCTTATTTGACATTTGAAAAATAAAATGAAAATGACGTCAGTTGTGCTAGTATTGCTTGTTAATCTAAGTAGGTTTGTAGTTTTTATCTATAAATACAGCTAGATATAGTCAAGGAAAAATTTGCACATTTGAATCTAGTTCCTTCTATCTCTGGTATCAAGTGGAGAATATACAATCCAGGTCTAAACAGATGAATTGTATTGACCAAAAGCAAGCAAAATGTTTTCCCCTCTATCCAATCCATCTTAAAATGGTTCTTGTCTCTTGTCCTGAATTAGATAGCATATCTTGTCTCTTGTCCTGAATTGGTATTGTTTTAAGTTAAAGATAAGTAAATACAGAATACAAGTCAAGAAAGTTAAACCTTGAAGGCATTTTTTTTCTAAGTAATAGGGCGGCCTTTTTTTCTGAAATTCTTTAGCAAATAACTTCTAGAATGCAGATTATTTTAGAGAATGATTATATTTGGTATATTGATTCTGTTGCAATATTCTTTTAAAATAAGGGTTGAACTAGTAGGTCCTAGTTCTTATTTAATTCATTTATTCATTCTTATCCATGCTATTTTAGACAAAATTTTAAGTCAAGGTTATCCTTTTTATCTAATCTTAAAAATCTCTTCGTGTGCTTTTAGTTTTGTCAAAGTTGTTAATCCTAAAATGTACAAGTTGAGCTCACCCACGATGCAAGTTATATTTATATGAGTCAAGGCATGACTACATGAACTACTTATCTTTTAAAGATACCAGTTTATGGCATACTTATATAGATTAAATGCTTTTATAATTAGGAACACTGTTCTATTTATATTTACTCTGGATTAAATTCTATTGACTACAATATGATTTGCTCCTATGAAAGCACATACTCTTATAAGCCAAGTATGAGCTGTTAAACCTCTAGTGAAGGTCATACCTGTGTCATGTAATGACTCATTAACATTAGACAAATTATTGTCTCTTAGCCTCAGTCAGTATTTACTTTTTCAGTCAAAAGTGACATACTTAATGAACAAGGTCACTGTAGGAATGATTAAATGGAGATTACTAATGCTTTATAGATGGGAAGCTTTGAATAATGCTATTCCATAAACAGTATTTTTTAAAATAAATCTGATGGTGGTATTACCCTTCTTTAACTGGAAGATGGTTATCTAAGCAATATCTATAAAAGCCATATTGATTTTTAAATTAGACTATACAGGTGGTATTTTTTCTTTCCTGTGCTGTTTGAGATTTCTTATCAGACTGCCAACTTCTGTCCTTAATTTACCTCTTTAATCTAAAGGCCAGTACTGAGTTTTGTTCAGTCATTGCCTTTTGAAAATATTACATAACACAGATACTCTCCATCTATTGAGATAATTTCAGACTCATGACAGACTATTATGACTTGATACAGGGCAGTTTCATATAGCTAGTCTGAATGTTCTCATAATTCTCCCAGTCTGTTCTCAGAAGCATTTGATATATTTTACAATCTGCTTCAGAGATGATGCATTTGTTTTGGTGTTTTTTTTTTTTTGTTTTGTTTTTTTTTGCCAGATCCTATTCTTGTTTGGTTGAGAGAAAAGGGATATATCAATTTCTGCATTTTTGTGTTCAGTCAGCTGGCAAATTGCTGACTGATTTGGTTGTACAACTGAGTAGTGTATTAATAAAACAACAGAGAGCAGACGGTATTAATGTTTTTTGTTTTTTTTAGCAAAGGTATGGAGTTATTTACTCAAATTCAGAAAGCGATTTGACAGCAGAATGTTTTCAGATTCATTCATTCTAAATCCATCAAAAGCTTATACAGTATTGTTTATGAAGCAGAGTACAGGGTTTAAAATGTAATTTAAAATAATACAGAATATTGTAACAACTTACAAAAAATAGGCCATTTTAAACTGAGAATCAAGTTAAAAATACATGAATTATTTAATAAATAGATATGAATTATCCCTCTGGTTCTGAAAGGGATAAATATTGAATTTACCCAATTACCAAGCTACTGTAGTATGGGTTCATAGTGTCAGGGTTACAAGTGACACTCCCTAGGATTGCATAATATGCTGAGGCAAAAACCAATCCCATCTTGCCTCAACATTATACGTGAATCCAACAAAGATGGCAACAAAAGAGCTGCTCTGGGAAGGTTATATCATAACTGGAATGCCACTGCTTATAGATTATTTTGGTATTTTTGTCATCCATCTCTCATTTGTTGAGGGTACTCTATGAAATGTTTCTAAATATCTCAAAACTGTGTGGCAAGAGGAAGCCCTTTGGGTAACTTAGATCTTAAAACTCCACTGCACTCCACCAAGAACTTGGCAAACAATTTGGATGGAGTGGTTCTTTCTTTAAAACCAGCTGTGCTTGTGGTAAGTCCAGCGTAGGCTTTGCTGGGTTGAGGAGGCACCAGAAGTAGAACGGTACCTCAGATCTACTGAGACAGGACACATGCAGCTGAGAGCTCACTTCCTTCTGATCATTTCCTATTTTTAGTATAATACAGCTGTTTTGAATTTTGAGAACTATTTTCTTGACACTAAGTACCTCCCGTTTTGTAATTCTTCAGCCTTTCTCAGTAACAAACTGGCAAGTGGTTCACTTATTTAATATTTGTGGTGTATAATTGTGTCTTTCTCTGTATCTTGCCTCTATCTTGAAGGAGAGCATATGCCTGTCTCCCTTTTTATTTGTTTCCTGTGTGTTTTATATCGAGTTCCATTTGGAGGTAATGGTATCATCTTGAACAGCACATGATTTTTCATTTCATCTCCCCCCCCCCCATTATGAAGAGACCTGCTGCTTTCCAAAAAATAGTAACTGAGAAGTGTTAATCGTTCAGTTTTTCAATATATGTTTTGATATTTTTTAAGCAGGGTTCTTAACAAAAAACAGAGTCCAAATAAAGTTTAAAGCAACCATGGCTTTAATTCTCAAAGATTAAGTTGGAAAATTATGTATGATGGAAGAAAAGAGTTTAGTTGCTCATCTCCCCCCCCCAAAAAAAAATTGACCAGCAGAATCATTAAATTATTCGAAACACTTGAGTATCTATGTCAGAGCAGACATAGAAAAGTTTACATTTTTGAAGCTTTATATTCAAGCAAAAGCTGAGATAAAAGTTTGAAATTTGCTCATATTGCAAGATTTCATTTCTAAGTTTTGAATCTGAGAATTTCAAAGTTAGGTTTTCAATGCAGGTCTTTTCATCTCAAAATTCAGTGGCTCCTGGCATACTTTCATTATATTGTGGCTTGTTTGTTTGTTATTTTTTAAAAATAAGATATTAATTCTAAAAGCTGTTTAGCTGCTACCTTTGCCCCTCATTGTTAGAAAAAGATACAAAGTTTTGTTGCAAACTAATGGAGTGCATTGCAGAAAGTATAACCCATGTCACAGACTTGCAAAATAAGCCCATCTTTACAGATTTGCAATTTAAAATCAACTCTGATTCTGTGAGTCAGGATTTGGTTATATTAGTCACCTGTAAAATCGTGCTGAGTCCTTTAAGATTAAATCGCTCACAATTTTGAGTATTTGTCATGCCTTTGAAGCTTCAGCAGTTTAATGATATCCTGGATGTTTTTAAACTTTAGACTTTCATTATTATAAGGTTACTATACAAATGCACCATTCATACACATTCATACACACAGCTAATCTGTAGCAAAAAACAATTTCATAGAAGCCAGCTGGAGTCAGGGCAATTCAAAATATACATAACTTCAATAACAACAACCAATGCCACAAAAAGAACATACCACAGAAAAGGAAGGAAATTGGGCCAGTGAGTTTGGGAGTAAAGCTGAATGGTCACAGACCATTGACAATTGGAGCAGGAGCAGAGAAATTAAGAAACCTTGAAGGTGAAAAACAGAATGGGGCATCTGGGAAAGAGCACAATTGGTTGAACACCTAGAGAGAAACTTTAGTCCGGGCCCCACTTACTAAACACTAAATGTCAGTGGCGTGTCAATATCAAAATTGTGAAATCAGACATTGATACCGATCTGGGGTAGTTGGCAAGCATTTGAGTAATCACAATATTTGGCCCATGAGTTTAGGAGCAAATATGTTTTAAATCTATCTTGATTGTCTAAATTTTGTTCTAAGGGAGGTGACAATTTCCCAAGTATCAGACTCAGGTAGTTTCTCTGTACTGAGTTAGTGTAACCTACTGTGTAGAGAAGGTGCTTTCCAGTCAGGACAAGAATGCGTAGGATATGACTGCAGATGATGCAGTGTTGCTAAACAGAGAGTCCATTATTGATGCTGTGGAGCACGCCCTTGGCCTAGAGTGATAGGAATGTTTGCTTTCCTCTGCTCCTGTTGTACAGAGCTAGAGCAGGCAGCACGTAGACAAGAAGACAACAGATCCCAACAGGAGGAGGAAAGGGGATTAAGCTTCCCACGAAGGGCATGACTGGATTTTACTATCCATTAATCCGTAGTCTCCTTTCTTGGTCTTTCATTTGGAGATGACATTAGGAAGCCCATAATCCAGATCAATCCTTGAATGCTGAATTCAGAGTTAAAGTGGCAGGCATTGAAATCACGTCTCAATCAGGAGCAGGATAAATTATGCTTGTCCTGCTCCTGACAGAGTGTTGCAGAGAGATTTTTTTTAAAACAAATTAAGATCTCATAAAAATTATAAAATAAGGATAAGACGCAAAACGGAATACTTCTGTACAAAACATATTTAGCTCAGGAATTCCATTTTTTTTCTATAATTAGCTGGTCCATTCTGGAATGGTTCATGCATTTCCAGACATATTATTCAAGACAGGAAAAAAGTTCATTGTAAAAATAATTGTTTCTTATTATGATAAGTGCACTTCTGGAAATATGTGAACCACATCCAGAATATGCCAGACATCCCATTCCAGAGGAAAAAATGGAGCCAACCATTCTATGTTGCACATTTTTTTAACGAAGCAAAACAAAAAGCTATCAATTAGAAATGACCTGGTCTAAATAAAATTGTAGTCATTAAAATGTTAGATAATCACTATAGAGATCCAAGTTGAAGTTTCTGTATGA